TATTCTATTCTATTCTATTCTATTCTATTCTATTCTATTCTATTCTATTCTATTCTATTCTATTCTATTCTATTCTATTCCTTCCAATATTCTATTCTGTTCTGTTCTGTATTCTCTTCTCTTTTCTTCTGTTATTCTATTCTATTTTCCATTCCATTATTCTATGTATTTTATTTCTATTTCTCTTCTCTGTGTTCCTGTTACCTAAGAGGCTGTCGCAGAGAAGAGCAGGTTGACTTATACACCAAACCACCAATGGGCTGGACAAGCAGTAATGGGTGGAAGATCATTAAAGAGATTCTGTTATTCTGAAGATCCAACCTAGCATTAAGGAGAAATTTCCTGTCAGCGAGAACAATTTACAATTAAGAGTTGCTTCTAGAAGTTGTGGGTGCTGTAACACGGGAAGTTTTCTAGAAGAGACTGAACAGCTATTGGTCTAGAATGTTAGAGGGTCTTCTTATTGAGCAGCGGGTTGGACTAGAAGACCTCCAAGGTCCCTTCCAACTCTGTTGTTCCAAATCTGGCTCCAGGTGTTGCTGCTTCTTTTACCTTGTTCCTTTTAGCTGCATTAATTGTACCTCCAAAGGGGTTTTGAGGGGCATCAACTTGGAGATGCCCGTGATCATCAATCATCTGTTATCTCAGACAGAGGGGTCCAGTTCCTGGCTCAGGTTTGGAGGCAGTTCCTGTGGACCATTGGGTTGTCCCAAGGCCTGAGCTCAGCCTTCCATCCTTGCATTCATCAAGTGCATTCCATAAAGAGTTTTTCAAAGATAGTAACTAGGCGATTGACGTTTCTGCCGGCCCCAAACCTCTAATTGGAGAGCATGATTGATGACTCCTGGCTATGGACGTGTTTTGCTGGAGAATATGAATTAGGACACACCCAGAGAGGTGGGGAAAAAACAGGGTCATAGGTGAGACTATATTATGTGTCTCGGAATCGGCTTCATACAGATCATGCCGACATGTTCGCTTCTAATAAACCGTTTGAAGTTTTTTGAAGTTGGGCTCAAGGCTCGTGAGTTAATTAGGGCGATCTCCAGAATCCTGATGAGATCTTTTATTTCCCGCAGGTGATTGATGGCTTCTTTGTCAAGCGTACCCGTGACATTCGGGAATCTGCTGCTTATCTGACCATCATGACCCGTCATTTGACCAGACAGTACAAGGTAAGTTTGGAGCAATGTGGACTCCTTGGACCTCATGAGGACTAGCCTCTTACCTTTTTGTTTTGTTTTGTTTTGTTTAGCTCAGCATTAAGACTTCTATTTTGGGTGTAAAACCTTCCCGGTTTTAAGTCACTTTTTTTCCGGTGCCCTTGTAACTTCAAACGGTCGCTAGATAGAACTCTTGTGATCAGACGCAATGCTCTTCGGCTAAGCCTATTTCTACCAATTTCTTGTAAAAAATACGAGGGGAAAATAAAAATGAGGAATTGCTATATTAAATTAAATTGATTAAAACAATATTTTAAAATAACAGAGTGGAATTAGAACACAATAGAATAGAATTCAGAATAGATTTCAGAATAGAGTAGAATAGAATAGGATTCAGGAATAGAATATAAAGGATAGAAATATAGAATAGAATAGAATAGAATAGAATAGAATAGAATAGAATAGCAGTCGGAAGGGACCTTGGAGGTCTTCTAGTCCAACCCCCTGGTCAAGCAGAAGACCCTATATAAGTTAAGCTATTTTTCATGTATAAATCAATATTTGTCAACCTTAGCCGCCGTAAGATGGTGCGTTTTAAGACTTTCAGCTCCCAGAATTCCCAGCTAGCCTGCTTTAAGCCATGTGGACTTCAACTCCCAGAATTCCTCTGGGAGTGGGTGGCATAAGTCGTAAGTCAAGGATCCGCCATAAGTCAACTGCTTGTAAAGACCCAGAGCCATGATGGGGAAAAAGACGAGTTAAAGATAAGAGTTTCTCTCTAAGGAGGGGTTGGACTAGATAGATGACCTACAAGGTCCCTTCTGACTCTTAATCTGTAAGTAAGTAAATAAATTATTTTTTCCCTCTATTTTTCCCCTGTAGGACAAAATGCTTTTGAGTTGTACCAAGCAGGAACTGGAGGATGAGCGCCCCCTGCAGCCCAGGGCGGGTACCTGCAGGCTTCTGACATTTGCTGAATTTAACGAAGGGGCTGTAAAAAATAAGGTGAGGAATTCGGCAAACAAACAAGTACGTCAGTACCTGGCCTATGAATAGCACAACTGCAAATAGCAAAAACAATTCTCTACCTGCTTTTCCAATCTGCACTAAGTACAAACCTAGTGACTAGCAAATTTCTTGTGTGTCCAATCATACTTGGCCAATAAAGAATTCTATTTCTATTATTTCTATCCTCTATATTCTATTCTATTCTGTGCTATGCTGTTCTATTCTTACTATTCTGTTTTGTCCTGTTCCTATTCCTATTCTATTTCTATTCCTCTTCTATTATTTCTATATTCTATTCTATTCTATTATTTCTATTCTCTATATTCTATGCTATGCTAAGCTAAGCTATGCTATTCTATTCCTACTATTCTGTTCTGTTCTATTCCTATTCTATTTCTATTCCTATTCTACTATTTCTATCCTCTATATTCTATTCTATTCTATTCTATTCTATTCTATTCTATTCTATTCTATTTTACTAACAAACCTGGTCAGACATTTCCAACTTTTCCAGGATGCTTATTTTTATTTTTATGTTTTTTTTTCCCCTTTGGCTTGTCTTAAGCCCCTTTCACTGGGTTTTTTCTTTTTTTCTTTTTGGAAGGATTTTTAAATTTGGTTTGTCATTGCCTCCTTCTTAGAGCTGAGAGAGCGTGGCTGGCTTGAAGCCCGAGGCAGGATTTGAATTCTCCCAGTTGCTAACCCGGTGCCTTCAGCGCTGCATGGATTTTGTCCAGATATTTAACCACAAGCCAGGGAAGAAGATTCCCTCTTGCTGAACCAGAGCTGCGTTCACACAATCGGCAAGCCCGCTTCTTTTCTAACCTGGTTCCCGCTTCCTTTTCCCAGGCACAGACTGTGTACGAAGTCTTCGCAAGGCAACTGATGCAGGTCAGCGGCCTCAGTGGAGAAAAGGCGGCTGCCATTTTGGAAAAATACAAGACGCCCGCCAGGTATGAAGATGGGGGAAGAGGGCTGGAGGTGGTTAGTTCTGTTAACCTGGATTTCGCCTAATGTGTGGACTGAGTCGATACTTGTAGTTTTCCCACATTGCAGGGAACAGCGACAACAGCTTGGGTATTTGTTCATAATGGCCTCATAAGGCTGGGTTGGCCTGTTTGTTTTGGTCAGATTCCGTCCTTAATCTCTCCGAGGTTAAAATTGGCTGATGGGAAAGATCAGTTTCTATGATGAACTTAGATCGGTGTATCTCAAGCTTAGCAACTTTAAGATGGGTGAGCTTTCAACTCCCAGAATCCCCCAGCCAGCATGCTTTAAGATGGGTGGACTTCAACTCCCAGAATCCCCCAGCCAGCATGCTTTAAGATGGATGGACCAGCTCCGAGAATTCCCTAGCCAGCATGCTTTAAGATGGATGGACCAGCTCCAAGAATTCCCTAGCCAGCATGCTTTAAGATAGGTGGACTTCATCTCCCAGAATCCCCCAGCCAGCCTGCTTTAAGATGGGTGAGCTTTCAACTCCCAGAATCCCCCAGCCAGCCTGCTTTAAGATGGGTGGACTTCAACTCCCAGAATTCTTCAGCTAGCCAACCCAAAGTAACTAATCCCCACCCCTTAATATGGTATACCGTGGCTAACTAACACTAAATAAATTCATGTGGATGTCAACATTGTGTTTAACCAACTTCTCCCTTAGAATTGTAGTCGCATTGTACATCTTTGTGGTCCACCTAAAGATTTCTTATTCATTCGAAGAGAATGAATAATATAACAGAAACAGAATATGGTTTGGACAATAACATTCTGAATTATTCCTTTATTTATTTATTCTGGATGTTGAGATAATAGATCTTCTAGCTGCCCAGGTCGAGAAACACGGCCTTAGAGGCTGTTTGCCGGCAAAACAGACCATGCTGTAACCTGGTTTAAAGCAACATCCTACATGGCGAAGTCTAAGATTCACATGTATGATGAAACATGGAAGGATTTTTTTTTCTTGGCATGTCAACGGTGGACATGCCACGGGACGCGGTGGCTCAGTGGCCAAGACGCCGAGCTTGTCCATCAGAAAGATCGGCAGTTTGGCGGTTTGAATCCCTAGCGGGGTGTCAGAGTGAGCTCCTGTTACTTGTCCCAGCTTCTGCCAACCTAGCAGTTCGAAAGCATGTTAAAAAATGCAAGTAGAAAAATAGGGACCCCTTTGGTGGGAAGGGAACAACGCTCCGTGCGCCTTCATTGTTTAATCATGCCAGCCACATGACCACGGGGACGTCTTCGGACAGTGCTGGCTCTTCGGCCTTGTAACGGAGATAAGCAGTGCTGGAAACGACTAGCACGGATGTGCGAGGGGAACCTTTACCTTTTACCTTACAACGGTGGGATCTGGTAACCTTCCCTGGTGTCCTTCATTCTCAGCCTGATGGAGGCTTACGCTGCGTGTCCGGATGGAGAAAGTCAGGAGTATCTTCTGAGTACCATCAAATGTGGCCAACTCCAGAGGTGAGTATCGGAGTTGGTGGTCTTTCCTCTTTCCTCACCTTCCCTCTTTTCACAAGCTCCCTCAGCCCCCAACCCAGAACATGGATGGTCCTCGACGTATGACCAGAATTGACCCCAAAGTTTCTGTTGCTAAGTGAGACATTTGTGGAGTGGGTTTTGCCCCACTTCACGTTTCTTGCCGCCGTCATTAAAAGTGAATCCCTGCAGTTGTTAAGTCAGGGACACGGTTGTTAAGTGAATCTGGCTTCCCCCACTGACTGTCGTGACCCCGGGATTCTGCAGCCATCATAAATATGAGTCGGTTGCCGATCATCTGGATTTTCAGTCGTATGTGTGAAAAACGGTCCTAGGTCCCTTTTTTCTGTGCCGTTGAAACTTCAAACCATTGCTGAGGACTCTCTGAACTAAGGAAGGCGCATATTAAATGAGCCATGCCTGATTTTTACAACCTCTTTTTGCCCCGATTGTTAAGTGAAACACATGGTCGTTAAAAGAATTCAGTTTTCCCCCATTGGCTTTTCTTGTGGGAAGCTGGCCAGGAAGGTGGCAAATATGCAATCTACAACCATCGTAAGTCCATGCCAGTTTCCAAGTGTCCACATCTTGATCATGTGACATTAGATTTGCAGCCAAACCATGCCTGTGGTTTGCTTAACAACTGCCACACTTGCTTAACGACCGTTGCAAAAAAAAAAAAGAGTCATACAATTGGGTCGCATATGTGACTGACCCCCTTCTGCAACCATCATCACTTACGACCATGATGGATAAACTTGGAGTCTGTATCCGAGGAGGAAGATGAGCAGCTGACAGGGAGTGGGAGTGTGGCTCTGTTGGCTGTGGAGGAGGTTGGGGAAGGGCAAAGTCTGGCTGGGCAGAGCAGGGGAGAGGTAGAACAAGGGAGAGGGAGTTCAGAGGAAGACCCAGGCTCACCATCCCCTCTTCACCCTAGGGCACGCAGGAAGGAACGGAGGAGGGAGCAACATGGGTTGCATGGCTTACGGGGGAGGAAAGGGCCCTGATTCCCTTCATTAGCCACAGCTGGGAAGGGAGTTTAAAAGAGAGGCAGGCTGCCTGCAGCAGGCTACTGGGAGCAAACGTGACTGTATCTTATATGGTGGTGGCTTATCTATGTTCCTGCCATGTGTGAGTTGGGCTTTCAAGTCTGAAATTCTTGCTCCTGCCCTGCCAAACTAATTACTTCAGTTTGGCTTGTTTGGACTTTCAAGTTACAGTTTGTGTGTGCCTTGTTTTGGACTGAATTTTCTGCAGTCAAAGGCTGCTCCTGGGATAGTTTTTCTCCAGCCAGAAGGTAACCTGGACATTGGGGGCAAAGTTGGAGCTAATAAAGGGACTCTTCTTGCTTATCTGACTGTGTTGCCTTTGTGCCATGCTCCTTTGGGTCATCACACATCGTGGTCCTAACTCAAGGACTACCTGTAAGCTGATGGGGATTGGTAGAGAGTTGCGCCCTGTAAATTGGACGGATAAATGAATAAATGACCAAAGGATCCTGAGAATTTGCCTTTTAGAACAATCCCTGACTCTTTTTTTCTTTTCCCCTTGTTTTTTCTGCAGAAACCTGGGTCCTTCTCTTAGCAAGACGCTGGCTCAATTGTACTGCACGCCTGGACCGCTGCCTTGAAGATCGAGAGGTTGTGAGAAGTGTGCAGTGGCTGTGTGTGTGTGTGTGAGAGAGAAAAGAATGACATTTACTGTGCTGTCAATGAAGAGAGAGATGCCCACAATTGGACACTGTTTGTAAAACAGCAGGAGAGGAGCGTGCATCGAATCATGTAGGCAAGATTTCTTTCCCAACCCCGGGAAGGAAGAATTTCTTTTTTTCATCTCTGCCTGCACTCAAACATACACACACACACACACAAACACTTTCTCCAGAAAAGGGTTTGGACAAATGCTGTCATTGTGAGTTCCCTTCAGTGCCCAATCCTGTCTAACGCTGTCCTGTTTGACTGAAAAGAACCTAAGAAAGATACTACTACCTCACATGCTAATAAAATCCTAATTGTCCTAATACTCCAATAAAGTTTCTAGTAGTTTTTAACAAGGGCTCTCCCTTTTCTCCTTTCAACCCTCCCATCCTTCTCCCCTTCCTTCCTTCCTTCCTTCCTTCCTTCCTTCCTTCCTTCCTTCCTTCCTTCCTTCCTTCCT